ATTCTATCTATAAATAGCATTCAATCAATGTGTTGCTAAAAAAATGGTTAGGTATATGTATACTAAATACATATTTTTTGCTAGAATTTTAGGTAAATTAGATTGTAACACAATTACATAACTTTATTATCAAGTCAAAAATACATTTTACTTTTTCACATTGGATTATATATACAAATCAAAAATTTATCTAAATACAAAAAACCCTTAAATCAAATATTTTGTTTAGGCACTAATATATAGTAGTATATATAATATATAATATATATAATATATATAATATGAATTTATATGATATATAATAGTAGCCTAACTTAACACGAGTGTATTTAATATAAATAATACCTATGTTAATAAAAATAATACTAAACCTCTTATAACGATATTACCTTTATAATTTATATAATACGTATACATTTTGTTTAATCTGAAAAAATGTTTAGATATTCTATTGATATCATAAAATCAGTTAGAATTTTAAATTTATTTACCCTAATATTGTGTTTACAATTACAAGGATATTTATAGACTTAAAAAAGCTTAAGAGCCACTTCATTAAAAGTGATACCGGAGCCCTATTTATAGACATTTGAAGTTTTCCGTTTTTTAGTTTTTTATTCTATAAATGTCAATACAATTTTATTCAGTGAGTTAAAAAACTTGAAAATTTAATACAAAGTTCCCCATAATTTTGATATAATAGCAGTTGGAAAAATATAAAGGCATGTTTTTTTTATAACCATTTAAAGATCAAATTTTGATAAAATTTGTCAATTAAAAATTTACAAATTCTTTAATGGTTAAAAATGTATAAAACTTATAGCTTTTATAGTTAAAATGTATAGCTTAAATTTAAAACAATGTTCAACATAAGTAGTTAATTCTGTGGCAAAAAAATCTAAAAACTATACAAACCTTGGTTTTTTTTATAGTTATTATAAGTTCAAAATCGGATGAAATTATATATTAAATAACCAAAAATAACAACTTTGGTTATATTATTGTAATTTAAAAATATTATTCGTGGGTACTTCAATAGTATACCTACTTTATATTCTATAATATTAATAGTTAATGCCATTAATTACTTATGTTAATACTTTATAATACATTTTTATACCATAAATTACTGAATGAGTCGTGTACATAATGAATCTGATTGGATTAATTTTTAATTTATTTTATGGGTGGGTAGGTACTTTTTATCTGAAATAATAGCGATATAATTAATATAGTATATTAGTATATATAACTATAAAATATCCTAGACAGGCAAAACGTCTTCGCTCAGAATCGTTTTTCGTATACGATGATATTATATCATTGAATTCAAATTTAATACCATCTATTACAGTAACCCACTTGTAACCTACTGTACAGCAGAGTGATAGCTACTTACCCACTTTTATTTTTATTTTTGTCCTTTAGAAATGGATAAAAGTCGGTAACATACTAACATGCGAATAATAATAATTAATAACTACAATAATTAGTTAGTTATTTATAGGTACTAGTTACTACTATTGTAAGTACTAAGTAGATTAATAAATAATAATTGATATATTTGTGTTGCTAATCTTAAACTAATAAAGTCTTTCTATATATGTCTAACTACTCTAACTACATATTATACAATGATGTCGAAAGATAAAATCATTAAAATATCTTACAACTATTAGCAATTGGCTAATACTGTAATGTAAAGAATATTCATTATTCTAATTTTGAATGTATTGATTTACGAACGTCATTATTTTTATTTTACACATTTTAAGCCGTCTAGACGATAAAAAATGATTGAGAAGTATATTAATAATGTCCATTGTCCATGCATTTTAAGTTAAGTAAACGCTTTAGTTAGAAGTAAACTTTATTCAATTATACGATTGTCGATTTTACAGTAAATATAAATTACATTTAATATTTAGAGATACCTTGTACTTACTGCTATATAATATAGATACTACAGTGAGGTGTTTTCGCCTAATAGACTTATGACTCTGTCGATAGAATAATTAATATACATCATAACTGAAAAATTCTTCAATTAATCAACTTGAAATGTATTAAACAAATTGCAAATAATATAAAAAGTATGTATAATTAATGAAATTAAAATTATTTTGTATATATTGATTTGTGAATAATATAAACAATTTTAAATTTTAAATAGTATCGTGCAGTCATGCTAGAAAACTTAACTTACGGAACAACATATAAAATTCTATAGACGTTACATTATATTGTATAGGTACCTATTTAATTCGCGGAAGTATTGATAACGCTCTCCCGTGGCTTAGGCGGTTCAAATATGTAAAAAAAAGTTACCTTTATATTGCTATAATATAATATATTCATTACTTTGCTTAAACAACTTCACAATGTGAAAACAATCATTTCAAGATTAATAATATGATAAGCCTGGTATAATAATGATTAATAGACATAAGAGACTCACTGCACTAAATGTATTTTGTTTAATTTAATAGGTACTTTTTTGAGTTATAGTCGTTGAAAAGACGAATCTTTTAAGTGCAACAAATCGATTATGTTGTTCCTTAAACGAGTAAGTTAAATACATGCATGTATTTAATTCAAAGTTTTAGGTGATTTTAAATTGTTAACCTTAACCTATTATGATGAAATTTGTTATTTCTTTTAATTGTATTTTTAACCACCATCGCCTTATTTGTAAACGCTAGAATCCATAATAATAAATTGACATAATGAAGACGGCGAGTACAAAGGCGGTTAGTTTTATGAAAGGCATTACAGACAAATGGTTTTTAAGTAGAATATCACCGGTATAGTGGAATATAGGTATAATAAAAAAATATGTATTTAAGGAAAATAAACCTTGTTCTATCCATTTAGACAGCTCACAGCTCATACTTGAGCGGGAAGGGATTTACTTAACCATGCACTGCTTCAAAATTCATAAGATTACGCAAATCGRTTATTGGAAATGTTTTGACTAGCGCAAGAATATTAAAGTTCAAAACAGATTTATTAGCTTAATCTGGAAAAAAATAGTCAAAAAATACACGTTCGAAATCATTCCTGTCTACTGATAATATTTAGATTTAGTTAGGTACTTATCTATATTAAAGTAGGTATTTAAAAAAAATTATAATTTTATATATGACATGTATACCAATGTCAGTAGATATATTATGCATTTTGGCTTACGAAGAAGATCGASGTGAACAATAAAACACATGGCCATCGGGTTCTTAATACGATTGTCATTATGGCATTATATTTTAGTCCGTCATAGAATGCGACTCAAGCATTTCAATTGGATATTCGGATGGGTTTAAACGTGTCGAGCGTAATAAATGGTTGTGTATATTTTATGTCAAAATAAGTTCTAACCTATAGTCTATACAGTGAATGTGTTTCYTTATATAATTGCGCTGGTTCGTATTCGCGGACAAGTCACGTAGAATACGATGTATTCCTAGACATCTAGTACTTCACACATCCAACATTGTAAATAATATATATGATGTAAAATATAACACAACCAACACACACTCACATATTTGTATATAAAAAGTAGCATCTCTGGGAATTAAGTATACAAGAAAACAAATACCTTAATGTTGTATAACAACAATGATTTGCAACAACGTGTCGATTTATATTTAGATTATACTTCCTTTTATTTTTATATTATGTATTATGTTACTAATAACTATATTATAATGTAGACCTTTTTTAATTTTAAGAATCATTTAAAAATGTCACAATGTTTATGAAATAAGTAAATAACAAAATCGGTCTTGCAAAAAAATTTTTGTTTTTTCTTAATAATTTAATTTTTTTCCCAATTATATTAAAAAATATAGTGAATTTTTACTTTTAACCATCAAAATCTCAACTCAATCTAATTATTCTACCAGAAATCACACTCAAAGTTGAAAATGACACCATTTTTTCTACTACAGAAAAAGTGTCTAAGACGCATCATTATAAAATTAATATATTCATCGCTCCGCTTAGAATTTGAAATATCTATTAAAAAATAGTCAAGTTTAATTATACAATACAACCGAAACTGTATGATCTATATAAAACAACTGGCCTGCAGGCTGTAGGATGTTATTAGTTTCGTCGACACCCCCCAATGGCTATATCGTGGATACTTTAGATACTATTTATTTTTTATTAGAACTAATACACGATTATATAATACTACTAGCTGACCCAGCCACGCGTTGCTGTGGCTCAGTAATTATAATACATTGAATCAATTTTTTGCTAAATCTTTGGTACAATCAAATTATTATTTTCTAAAAAAAWTTAAAAATTCATATGAGATTGAAAATAAAACGTTTCGCCAAAATTTAAAAGTAATAGGTAAAGTATCGAAATGTTGAAATAAAGCTCAAACCAACATATATACTTTCTGAATTTACATTTTATTCATCTTGTATTTAATTATTGTTATTGTATTCTAGATTTATTGTCATCATCTGTTGAAATTAAAATCTTTAAACCTTTAAGCTACCCTCGAACACAAAACTTGTCATTACAACAGGTACAAATGGTACACTGTTTTCTCATTCTTATTATGTGTATTAACGATTAGTTGGTACGCATAATCATAGCACTTATTATTCCAACTTATCCTATAATACAATATAATGGGTATATTATGTTCGTCAAGTTAATTCAGCTGATCGATTTGAGTTGTGCGAGTTAGAATAAGGCCTCGTGTGGACCTTAGCAATATTCGTTGCTCCTGCGTTCTGACCAGCTGCATTCGATCGTGACGATCATAAACGAAATATGTTTCAATKTTTTACWATTATTTACCCACGTCCCACMGGCCACGACTGGCAAGTGGCAACAATATATTTTATAAGCACGACACGGTATAATATTGTTATTGCGGCAAAGCCGCGTCGAATAGATCCGTCGACGGGCGCGCGTTGGCAACACTGATTTTCCCGCCAAACTGGTAGTGTGTCGCCGCCACCGGTGACCGGTGCCAGTCGCGTTCCTGCATACACCACGGCAGACAACTGGTACCATAATACCGTCACAATAATATTATTGTCGTTTCGCCGTGCTCCCGGCGAGCGATTGGGTACCGAAGTYGATATATTATTAAAACGTTTATCGTAATATATTACAATACAGTTTTGCGCTGCAAGCAGTGTTATAATATTAATCTTGCTGGKCTAGGGTCGAGTGCCCGTCCGTTTTTCTCCGGTGATTACCGATCGTAATACCGCGACTTGTTCGCGTCTACTTTCCCGCCGTAGCACGCCGACACCGTCAAAGTCGCTGGTGGTGCGCGTACTTGCCAGCCAACCGTTGGTCCTTCAGATGTGCACCGCTGCGGAGTGACAACGACGACGAGTGACGACAATGGCGCAAGAACGCAAAAACAGCGGACAGAACTTAGAGATGCAAGATAAACATGACGGTTGCCTGTCAGCGACCGACGAAGAACGCGAACCCTGTCTGAAGGCGTCCGCCGACCCGTCGCCGGTGACCGAAAAGAACAACGGCACGATAACCGCGCCTCCGCCGTCCGCGGACAACAACAACGGCACCAGTAACGGAAAGTTCCACGCGTTCGCGGCCGCCACCAGCCTGGAGCAGAAGCTCCGGGACAAGACCGGCTTCTCCAGAACAGGTCTGGCCGTGGCCGTGGCCGCGCTGCTCCTGTGCGTTGTCCTGTTCATCACGTTGGTCGTGCTCCTCATCTTGTGGCCCGCACCGCCGCGCTACTTCCCCGTCTGCCGGAGGGCTGCCTGTCTCCGAGCTTCAGCCGAGKTGAGTTATTGTCAAACTTCAGTCGAAATATAATATACTATTATCACACTAGGTTCTGGTTGGCSACTTTAATACCGTCTAGCGCAATAACTTATGGATCGTGATGTAGGTAGGTACTAATATCTGTGTCATCATTGAAGTTTGTTGGTCTCCGCGGTAAAAATTAAAATTCSGACCAAATACCAACGTTGGCGCTTAGAGGGATAAACGATCGACGGCTATTATTCGTTGTTTTACAAAACTTTTGTGAACGAAAAGTCTTATTTCCCGGAATTTTTTCCAGCATCWCGCGTCGTCCTAAACGTAATGCGCAATTCAGCGTCAATTAGTAAGACTTTTCAGTATAATTTTATCGGGCCGATTAAAAAAAAAAAAAAATCCTGACACAAACAGTTTTTTTTCCATCGTGTGACATGGGATCTTATATAATCATTATAAAATACCGTGGTTGTAAGAGTCTTGTAAAGAGGAATTTTTTTTTTTTTTAGGTTTGCATTTTTGTCAAGTTTATTGTTTGTCTAGGTATATTATTATTTATTCCTGCGCCGATGGATGGTCGCATTTCATATTATTTACTGTGAAATGCTAATTTTATGCTAATTTCTCGTGCTGCTTAGCGACACGACGGTTGGCCAGGCCTCGGTGTTTTTGACCGAGAACGTTTTTCCCAATCAAACATCGCATTTGAATAATTTAGCATTTGATGTGTAATACCGTACTGGTGACGTACGATGTTTTAAAAGTTTTCTCTTAAATACCTATAATTCGGTTCGAAGCGATACGACGTTGAATTAAATTGCAATCGCAGAGTACCTATATAGTATAATATAGTGTACGGTTAATATCTCCTATATGTGTATGTGTGTGTGTGTGTTTGTTAATACGAAATTATCTTTGGACTTAAACCAGACTACCACGTGTAGCCCTTGTAGGTTCTATGTRTACTGGATCACGTGTAGGTACGACCTTTTCGACGTGCAAAAAGACAACAATATTGTGCGGTGCATTCCAGGAACACGAATATTATATATTATATTATTATATCGAAACGTTGGAGAGAAAACGTCGGTAAATGGCGTCGACGGTGGCCGTAACAACCCCTCTTGGATCGACACAAAAGACCACTGCCGCCGCCGCCGCCGCCACAGGACCCGTCAGTATGCTGTGCACGCCTGCACACGATCGGTGCAGGTATAAAAAGGGTCGGACGTCGTTTTTTTTTTCCTTCGTTCTTCCCGTCCTCCGCCGGTTTTACGATCGTCGTAAAAACTACCTTTGGTCTGTATAATAATATTACTACATACATATATACGCTTGTATTATTGAATAAGAATTTTACACCGACGTAGGTGATAACATTATGTGTAACGTGTATTATAATATTTCGACGTTCGATCGTGTTGTGTATGGTATTGGTATATTACGTATTTACGCGCGTACCCATTTCGTAGATTTACCGACGAAAATGACTATCAAACGGTCGTCGAAAAAATACAACAATATTATATTATCATTTGAGTGTACAAAATTGTACATGTCATCATCTAAGTATGGATTGATAAAAACACTGAGCCGCGTTTCGACTGAACATTTCATTTAAAAAAATGTTTCTTTCGACTAATCCGAGTTAAATATTATATTAATATATTAGATAGGTATATAATGTAAGCTCCTGCGTATAAAACGCTGCACGTACTACGGTTTCCGCTCGATTACGCTTCCGATCGGCCGAATCCTTATATTTACGATTCGCACACGTTGTACTTATACATATTATATTATTATTATATTGTGTCCTGTCGTTGTTATTCCGGTAATTCGATATGTGTGTCGTGTGTCCGCACACGCGGTCTCTGGAAAACGACTCGCTGCAGGATATCGTCATCCAGAAGGATAATGTACAGCAGGTGTTTACGGATAACGAAGAATTTCTGTCTGTATATTGTACTCGCCACATTGTACTGACGTGCGCATATTATTATTATGTATAATATGTTTTTAGTATTTGAAATTTGCCACTCACGTACATTTCATAATATAGATCTGTAGATTTTTCTTCACTGGTATACTTATGCGGACAGCCCGCACAATATTACATAGGAAATTCACTCGTTTGGAATAGTATTCTCGGAAAAAATAAAAACGATGACGGTACGGTTCGTTTTTATCGGGCAAATCAAATTCCGTCATGTCCTCTAGTGTACATTACCATGTTGTTATGTCGTATAGTTGAGTTAAATTTGAAACAATATTCAAAACCTGTTGAATAATTTTAGACGATCTGTCAACMTTTTAAAAGTACCTAGGTAGAGATATTAATTATACGTTTTTACGAACTATGAATAATAAAATTTTTTTTTTATTTAGTTGCCCTCAATAACAAAACATAATATGGTAGGTATATCGTACACAGATACGTTGGTTTGTTATTACACATATACAATAGATACTAGGTATTCCCGAAAACACTTAAAACGAGTTCTTTTTGTTTTTTCCCGTTGTTCAACATTAATTTTGAYGCTAATAAAATATGCAGAAATGCTGGTTATTTTTTCTAAAACTATCTCGATATAGTGTTAATACTTATTATGATATTCACTGCGTAAGACGCAAACATCAACGTGTACATAATAAAGTTTACACTATATTATTATATAAATTTTAGGTAATGCCATCGATATATAATATGCATTATTTTCGGATACACGTGTGCTTGTCATTATTACAGACGTTTGATGTACTTATTCCGTTTGTTGTATTTAAATGTTTTATAGGTCGTTCGTTTAGTCTACGACAGATGTAATGAACGAATAAAATTGTCATTKGTATAATCGGCAGACGCTTCGAATCAAAGACTGCACGTGTTCGTTGTCTGTAGAGCGTGTAGACTGAATATACATTTACATACTTTGTACGTTCGTGTTTTACGGATTGTTGCAACGGTAAATATTTCATTTGAACTCATTTTGCGTATCCTTACTCTGTTTTACAAAATTCTAATAATATAATAATAATATAACATAGTTGATACCTTCCAATTTTACGTAGGTGTATAAACTAATATTTATCATTTCGTAGGTAGATTGATTATAGTCCCAAAGCGTTTTTGGCGTCTTGTACGGACAGGAGTTGGTTAAATAATATTGCTGTGTAATACCATTATACATTTAATGGAAATAACGTACTTACGCCCACTGGCTAAGGTGTGGACATCGCATCGCTCACACTGTATACGGATTTTGCGTTATTCGATAYGCAAAAATAAAAATGTATGCAAGTACCTAATAGACGCAGTGTAATTTTTTAAATATAGAAAAAATGCGATTATTTTAATAAATTACAATACACCTCTAAAGCAATTACACTATGTTTTTAATAATGCATACCTACTCTAAATCATAACAGTAATACGTAATTATTAGGTAGGTATTCATTACTATATTACTTATTTATGATTACATAATTTTAGTAATAATTATTATTGGCGKATAAGTTTGGTTATTAATTCAGCCCGTAATGAAAAACATTAATATTTTTATTTTACAATTTTGTACATGAATTTAAGTGCATTGAATTGACCGTTTTATTAAAAATAATTCATTATTCCATTTTCCATGGTACGTCGATATCTATTCGGTCGGATGTGTAAAAAAGACCAAAATAATCTGCAATTAAACCATCATCAATATAACCAACTGTACACTTATTATATTATATCATATATTTATATATTAAATATATATATTTACCAGTAAACATTATTTAAATTAACGTCTGTTTGGAATTTTGGATGAATCAACATTTATTACGAGTATTAATATTATCATCCATTAGCGCGTAATGAGGAATACCTTACCTATTATGTATTATATATTCATACATGATACATTATAATTATTATTTTAAAGCTGAGGTGACATATTCTAAAATCTAAAATATCATACTATATAAACATCACTAAGATTTATCCAAATAACATAAGAGCTACTAGGGCTAGCAATAATTCATAACGTTTCTATAATCGCTTTTTTGTCGTCATACCGTACTTGCGATGAATACAAATTTGAGACAAACCATCTCACATTTCAAATAAAACCCCTATCTTAATGCACTTAATGAAAAAAAAAAATCTTATATGATGTATTATGTGTGTATTTAATATAATATATTGATAATATAACGCATGATCAGCCAACGCTATTGTGTGGTATTGAATCACATTTTTGTTGATCAATAAAAAAAAAATCGTTAAACGTACATTGGTTTATGAAATGTGCAGGCTGCGGGACAATAATAATTGTTATTATTTATTAATTTCGATCGATGTCTCGCTAAAAWCCCATGTACGGTTTCCAATATTATGTCGACGTAAAACACAATGTGTATATTTATAAAAAATTATTATAAAATAATAATATAGCTACAGATTACTACATACTAGTATGGAATACGCAAAGTGCTCGTGTATTTATTTTTTCTATATTATACGATCAGATAAACAACAATAAATCTTGGCGTTGTCCGAATTTTATGGTATTTTAAAGATTTTCCATAATTTCATTTACTCGCTTATCTCGCTTAATATACGTTATTGGGATTCAAGATAATTGGTTCTCGGTGAAAAGTTCTGTACGCAGACATTTGCCGTCCCCATCATCGTAATTTTATACACTGCTAATTTTTACTTATTCTTATTATTAGACGAATTTATACAAGAAAACCATTCGGCATCTTATTGCCAATAAAAGACATAATATTTATYAATGGACATTTAATTATTGATTGAGATTTGAGATAATAAGATAGGTATATGAGGAATATCTCTGAAGAGTGTAGACAGTGTGCAATCTGGTGCCAAAGAATTTAGATCATTTTAGTGTATAATTCAAGACAGTTTCAAGACTAGTTAGTCTTAACTCCTAAGTTATGATTAAAATCCCTTCAAAATTCGAATCATCTTATCATATTTAACAGTAGGTACGCCTCATTTTCTGGTACAT